CCCTCGTGTTATCCATCGCTGACTTTTGCTCGCAGTTCCCCCGTCTCCCAACGTCACGCTCGACACACTGGTGCACTTTGGTATTCTCTCTGAACCCAAGGCCATCAGGGACCTCATCTCAGCGATTGACGGGGAATTCTATTACTGGTACCCCGACCACTGACGGGGAGCTTTCTTACTGGTATTTATGAGGACGCGTCGGTCTCGGTTTGGTCATCGGGCTGTAAAGGAATGGGCCACCAACACTGGGGACTTTGGTCATTTCACAGGCGTTGTGGTCTATATAGGGTTGGACTTTGCTTAGCAATCAGCTGTAGTTCTTCACACTCATCGGGGAGGTGTTTGAGTTCACCAAGCGATTATGGGTTTTGTTGCTTTCCCACGGCTGATTTCTAGATCCACGGCCTTCTTCTGTTCACCTACCCGCTCTGTACGAATATCCGAGAGACCGCAAGCTCTGCGTCCTGCAGTTAGAGCCACTTAGACTCTGGTTGTTCCCGACGGAAACCGCATCCTGAAAGCAAGAATGGCCGGCAGTTGCGTGTAATTGCTGTTGGACTCGATCTTCTCTTCGGCATCCTCCTCGGTAAACGCCAGCTCCTCCATAGCGTCCATGACCAGGCCGGCCTTGAAGAAGGTGGCAAAGAGCTCATGCATCGGGCGGTGGAAGTATATCTGCCATGCTCAACCTAGGGAACTCAAACAACATCGGTTGCACTCACCTGCTTCACCGGCTGCCCGGGTAGTGCGATCCCCACGGCGGGCAGCACAGACATATATTCCGTGATGACCTTGGACCGCACAACCTCGTACTCCCCATTAACGGGGCTATATCCCACGTTGAAGTTGCGCGTGGCGTTGGAAGTGAAGAAGACGGGATGCAGCAACGTCGCGACAAACCTGCTCGAGTTGAGGAGCCCACAATGAACGACGCAACACAACAACATCAAAAGAGAGAGGGAGAAAGACTTACACGCCGCCATCCGCCAACAACCCCCTCAACGCTCTCGCCAGCGGCTCCAGATCCGCAACATCCATAACCGCCATGTTCATCAAGACCACATCAAACCGCCCCTCCTCACGCCCCAACTTTTCCAAGTCCCCCGCACTCGTGACATCCACCTTGCGAAACCCAATTTTCACCCCCGCCGTGCTGCCCGGTTCATCATCATCATCATCCTCACTGCAATGCGCCCGTGCCAAAGCAAGCATGTTCTCGGTCCCGTCCGTCGCCAGGACGGAGTGGGCGCCGTGGCGGGCGAGCCAGCGCGCGCAGAGGCCGTTGCCGGTGGCGAGATCGAGGGCTTTTTTGTTGCCTCCTCTTCCTCCTCCTGGTTTGCTGCTGAGGGAGGGGCCTAGCAGGCGGGCGAGAGAGGGTTCTTGTAGACGGCGCCAGTATTTGTTGCCGTGTTTTGTGATGGTCGTGTCCCAGTAGCTAGCGTTGTCTTCCCGGGAGGCGAGGGCGATGGCGTGGTTGGTGGACATCATGTTGGGGTGGGGGTGAGATTTGGGTTGGTTCGGTGGTCAAGGTGTAGTCTCGAAGGGCCTGAGAGGGTCGTTGGGGTGGTGATATGTAAGTTGGTGACCTAGGTACGTGAACGTGGGGAGTTGAGGTTTAAGTCTATTTTGGGACTTGCTCGTTACTGCAAGCCCCGCCCGGGTGACTCAGGCCAGTGCTGCATGCATGCATGATGCTGCAGCGAGGTCTCTTCCATAATTCCATTCCAAGTCGAAACTCGAACGGTGCGACGGGACCGTGAACGAGGTTGCCCAGCCACGTGTAGAAGCAGCATAGGTAATTGTTCTGAGTTCCTCAATCTTCCAACGGCTGGGGAGTCTGACCAGGGAAGGCCACTGTTAGGGCCTAGTCACTGTATGTCTAAGGTAGGTCTGATAGTCCCGGGGAAGCCCCGGGCCAACGTTAACGTGATCGGGACAAGTGCCGTTGATAGTGAGCGGAGCTTCCCCAGATTCCCAATTCCGACTCGGGCAAATTGCTCCCGCGCAGTTTCACCTCACTTCCAGGTTTCAACAATCAAGGCCCGAATGATCATCGGCCATCTG